CTGGGCCGCTTCCGCCTCCCCGGATTGCGCTGGGATCAGGGCTCTGGACTCGGAAAACTACGGGGGGACGGGGCGCCACGCTCTGCCCTCCGCGCAGGGGCTCCCGGCCCGCCTTACCTGGGGTGCACGAGCGGCAGCAGCGCGCGCTGGTCCCCGTCCCATGCAGATGGCGGCCGGGGCCGCAGCTCAGACCCCCGGGGGGGTGCTGGGCCAGGCCCAGCGCGCAGAGCAGCGCGACGCCGCACAGGGCCACGCGCGCGACCCTCACCCCCATGGCGCGCGCGACCCTCACCCCCATGGCACCCGCGGCACCCATGGCCGCGCGCGGCTCCGCGGTTTTAGGAGGCCGGCCCCTCCCGAACACGCCCAGACCCCGCCCCGCAGGCCGCCCCGCCTCTGCCACTCCCCAAGGGGTCCCGAGGAATTGTTCCCATGGGGGACCCCCCAAGACTCTGCGACTCAGAATCCAGGGCACGGGCAGAGGTTTGGGGCAGTGAGACTCCTCTGGAGATTTCAACGGCGGGCACCTGTCGTCACACGTCTGTCCAAATCAAGGGACGCACCGCGCGGAGGGACCCTGCTGTCAACTAGGGACTCTGGGTGACATGACCTGTCAGTGCAGGTTCGTCGTGTGTAACAAATGCACACTCTTCGGGGATATTTATGGGGGGTAGGCTTCCCCTCACTGTTGCCGTGAACCTAAAACTGCTATAAAAGATAAATTCTTTTTTAAAAAACTTCAAGGGATGGGACTTCCCTGGCGTTCCAGTGGTTGGGACTCTGCGCTTTCACTGCCAGGAGCCCGGGTTCGATCCCTGGTAGGGGAACTGAGATCTGGTATATGCCCAGGGGGACCCCAAGGGAGAAGAGAAGGTCCCATCACAGGCTGCAGAGCACCTGACCACAGACGAGGGGGCAAGAGGGGGCATGCAGGAGACCCACATGGGGGGGGGGGGGGCCTTGGGCCTTTGGCCCAGGCATTCTTATCCGGAAACTAAATATGACCCAAATGTGTGTGCCTTGTCGGGGGAAACACCGCGCGTATCCCCAGCCACATCCTTGGGGAGGAGGGGCGGGGGGGGAGGGGGCCAGAAATGTTTTCTATGTAAAACTTGTGGCCTCCGGGCCTGAAGGAACTGGAGTGTGCGTGGGCACCGGATGCGGGGTGGCAGACGGTGCCCTGAGTCATTGGGGGTGGGGTGCGCCCCCAACAAGGGTGGACTCAGCAGGGACCATTCCTGGCTGAGCCCCCTCGCCACCTCCAGCTTCTTCAGGGGGACCCCACGGGCTTTCAAAGATCTTCTCTGACGCCCAGAGCAGGTGGGATGAGGCACTTGGTCCTCTGTGAGGCCTCCAGACCCCAGACCCCACACCTACCAGAAGTCCTCGAATCCCAGCACTGAGCAGCCTCAGAACCCATCCAGGGGTCAGGACAAGCCCCCTGCCCCCCCCCCTTTCTGGAGATTAGAACAAGCTCCCCCCCACCCCGCCCCAAATTGGCCAACGGGGCCTGGCTGGGCTCTTGACATGCAAGCCCCCCCCCATAGCCACACACACACTTGTGGGCTGCAGCCTCGCTGATGCCTGCCTTGACATGCAAGCCCCCCCCCATAGCCACACACACACTTGTGGGCTGCAGCCTCGCTGATGCCTGCTGGGAAGAGCTGGCAAGGAGAGACCAGGACATTGATTGAACCCTGACACTCGGGAAAGAGGGGGCTGCCCAGGCTACAACTCTGCTGAGCAGATGTCAACCCAGATCTCCCCACACAAATCCAGTCATCCTGGAGGATGTGGACGGCCGGGCCCGACGGAGCTCTTGAGCCACAGAGAACTCAGCCTCCAACTCACCATGAGACTGTCTCTTGTCTGTCTGAGCCTCAGTTTCCCCACCTGGCACCAAAGGGCTTGGGGGCCCGGCCTCCCCCAGGAAGCCTCCCCAGATTGCTCGGCCCTCCAGTTGAGGCTTGGTACAGGGGCAGCGGGTGGAGACCTCTGGGAACGCTGCAGCGGTGGGCAGTGGGGTGCCAGGAATGTGATCCTGGTGGCGCCCACGGGCTGGAGGTGTGTTGCTGGCTGTGACCTGGTGACCTGGGCAGACCCAGAAGACTTGGTTTGAGACCCTTTGAGACCTGCAGCTGCCGCCTCGCCTGATGGGGCAGCTGTCCTTTTCAGAGGGAAATGACAGGGATTAGCAGTTTTGTGACTCAACTATTGTTTTCAAGTCCCAGGATGCTGCAGGCCCCTCCTCAGAGAAGCAGCTGGGCCCTGCAGGAGAGGGAGGGGTCTCCAGTACAGCTCTGGCTGCTAGGGGGTAAGGTGAGGCCACCCTGTCTGAGGACCCCCCCAGACCTCGGCTCAGCTCCTAGATGGGGAGGAGGGTCTGAGCCATCCCGGGACCCCAGGGAAAGGTCAGGAGTGGAGAACTCGGCAGTCCTGGCCTTTCTACCCGTGTTCAAGGCCTGAGCAATCCGGTCTGTACCAGGATGGCATCACCCCAATTCTGGTAAGCGCCTGAGAAAATATGATAAATCCCCTACAAATGACGTTTGTCCGACAAGATCATATCTGTTGGCCCTTCTGGAAGCTGGGCCAGCCCATCAGGCACCAGGGGGCAGCTGTCTACCCGAGGGGGGCTGCCACCCGCAGCAGCAGGAAACCAGAGGCAGGGTTGTGTGTAACAAGAGGCAAAAGCGCCGTCGGGGTTGGGAGCCTGCGGCTGCCCTCCCGTCCCTGAGGCTCCGGAAGGCCCCTCCCACACAGACACAGGGTTACTGCGGAGCTTCTGTAAGCGGGCACTGGGGGGAGATCATTTCTATCCGCTCGCGGTATTTTCCTCTACTCTTTGAGCAGCTCGTCACATTTTTCATCATTTGTCTCAGCTCACACAAGTGACGCGCGTTCACGGGGCAGAGGGTCCCAAGCAGTGTCCAGGGGTTAACCTGGAGGGCTGTGGGGGCAGGATGGGGAGCCAGGTGGGGCCCTGGAGCAGGGAGGAGCCAGGGTGGGTGCCTGTGGGCCCCCCGGGGTGTGGGGGGAGCTCTGGCAGGGTTTCACACGGGAGGGGCGGTTGTCAGCAGAGACAGGGAGTGGAGAGCGTGCTTAGCGGCAGCATCCGAGGAAAGTGAAAGTGACCAACCTCCTTCCACCCACCCGTCAGCTGTTCAGAGGTGGAGCCACCAGGCTGGGGCCAAGGTGGGGGGCTCGCAGCTGGGAAGTTTGGGGAGGAAGCCCACGACCTTCGACCTTCCATTCCCCAAGGACCTGGCCCCTCCCCCAGGCCCCTCCATCAGGTCCCTTAGCTTCTCTGCACAGCCTGCACACTGCCCAGGGACCACAGGCCCCAGGCCAGTGGTGCCTGTTTGCTGCCCGTTTCCAGGGCAGAGAGGACGTATTGTGTTCACTGCTGCAACCCGAGATCTTTCCAAGAACACGTGGATGGTTCGGTCTCCCCTTTGCCCCCGGGAGGTCCGAGGGACCAGCCAGGGGTCAGAGGTTTGAGGAGAGGTGGGAGGGCCTCCAGGGCAGCTCTGCGGAGAAAGCCAGCCTGAGAAACTGGGGGGCGGGGGGGGGGCGGGGGGCAGCACACGTGTCAGGGGCGGACCTTTGGCCGCTGTGAGGGCGCTGGGCTTTGGGATGATGCCCAGTCCTGGCCTACAGGTGGGTGAACGGAGGTAGCCTGCTGGGAGCTCAGAGGTGTGCATCTTTGCCAGGTCCACCAGTGGGGGGCCTCGGGCTGTCGCATTTCTCTGCTCCCACCTCCCACCCCCACCCCACGCCTGACCCCCGCCCAGCACCTCGGTGGTCTTTTATTTCAGTTAGTAGTAGCTCTTAAATCTATCACAAACCCCGAGGGCGCAAACTATGGGCTGCCTATGGGCTGTGGAGCGTTTCCTCGCTGGCCCGCGGCTCCGGTGCTCAGATGAGCTGTTTAACCCACCCACCTCGCCTGCACGGAGGGGCGCTGTGGGGGGGGAGGGGTGGCGGGCCACAGGCCACAGCTCAGTCCTGTGTCCCCAGGGCGGGCTTGGCCCCAAGTCTGCACAGCTGCCAGAGCAGGGGCTACCCCCAGTGCCAGCCAGCGGGCCTGTCCGGCCACTCGGCCTCGTACAGCCCACTCTGGCGCCCACGGACGCTTGGGTTTCCCACCTGGGAACCTTTTCACATAAAGCTGCACATTTTGTTCACGCCCAGGGTGGACGAAGGGTCAGAGCCCAGTCAGAAGCCTCCAGTTTCCCTGAGGGCACGGAGCTGGCCTCAGGGGACTCGGGGGCCCTGCAGGCATCAGTGGGGGTCCCAGGGTCACCACACACTCAGGTCTAACAGGGCGTGGGGCTTGAGAAGAAACAGACACTTGTGCCCTCTCCTGGGAGGGGCCCCAGAGACCCTGAGGGGTTGTCCTAAAACCCCCTTTGGGACCAGGGCCTCCTCAGGGCTCCCTCCCACCCCCATTAGCACCCAGCCCAGCAGCCCCTGCCCGGCCCTCCCAAGTAGCCCCAGAGTGGGTGCCTGGGGTCCATTAGGCTGGGTTAGCATCGCGCTTGACAGGCAGGGCTTGTGACTCCCCAGTGCACTTATTTTGGTTGCCACGCTCCCCAGAGGCGCTGGGATGTGCCCAGCGAGCAGGACAGCAGCCCCAGGTCTCTGAGGGAGCCAGGGGAGCCCCTACCCCACAGCCAGCCCCCGTGGTGTGCAGCCCTCAGACCACTGGTGCCCAGTCAGAGGCCCACGTTTGCCAACGTCGTTTATTGGGGCCACCCTGGGTGGGGAGTACGCACAGCATACATAGCAGGGCCCAGGGTGCCAGCCCAGGAGCACCTAAAACGGCACAGGGCGGGGGGACAGGGCGCCAGGGTCCGGGGGTGACAGGGTGGGACGGCCTGCGTCTGGGGCCCCCGCTGCCCCTCTGGGGCCCCAGCCTGGGGAGGGGCGCCGGCTCCTACGCCAGCGGGCGTTGCTCAGACCTTGGCCAGGCTGGAGTTGGCATCGGCATGCTCCTCTTGGATGGGGGTCCGGAAGCTGTTTTCCCCTGCGGAGGAGGAAGGGGTGAGGGGTGGGGGGTGGGGGGCAGCAAGAGCCTTTCATCCACTCGGCTCAAACTCTGCTCCCAGCCAAGTTGCTCTGGACCAGCATTGACATTTTAAAAGTGACGAACCCACATTTCCCCACTTCTGGGGTCCCCGGCGTCCTCCCTTCCACACCCGCGGCCCGGGCAGGTCAAGGCGCAACAGACGGTCCCGCAGAGACACCTGAGGCGGTTAAGTGCCGGTAAGCTGCGATCCCGGCGCATCCACAAGGCGTAGCGATGTCCACGCCCAGCCGGGCGTCCGGTATGCGTCACTTCTGCACACACTCTGTTGGTCAGAATGAGGCACATGGCCCCCATGTAACTGCAAAGGAAGCTGGGAAATGTAGTTTTCCTGTGTGCCCAGGAAAAGAAACTGGATCTGTAAGCATGGAGCCAGCCTCTACTACAACAGGGGACTTCAACTGGTTACCATGAGGATTATAGAGTTAATGTATGCAAAATACTCAGAATAGTACCCAGCACATCAGGGACACCCATAATTCCAGGGAAATTGCAAGAGGAGTTTCTCTGAGTTTGCACTAATTACTGCTTGCTAAACAAGGCTGATATTCTAAAAGTTTCTGTCAAAACCAACAGCTGGCTGGAGAGTTTTGTGAGCCCCAGTGCCCAAGAAGGCCAGCCAAAGATGCAGATACCACCACCAAGTCTGTGTGGCACATCCTCGTGCTTTGTTTAATTTGGTTCCCTGGGTGGGAGAAGTTTTATAAGCAGGTGTTCTGGTTAATTAGGTGATTAATACTCCTCAAATTAGAGAGCCATTTCCCCAGTGACAGTTCTTGTTTTGCTCAAATATGAGACAAATCTTCATTGTATAGTTTGGAGAGGCACGTGATTGCATTCACGTGTCTGCCAGGCCTCTCAGGTCATCCCTCTGGCTGACCCCGCATCTGGCTGAGTTGCCATCTAGATGGACCAGTTTAGGGAAACAAAAGCGCCCCAGATCATCTGGCCTCCTCTCAGACCAGGGCAAAGTTGATCTGGTGGTACATTAATGGCTCCCTTCTGAGGATTTCAATCTGTATCATCTCTCAAGGTCAGAGTCATTGTCTCTACACAGAGCCCTCCAACTTCCACGGCAAGGTGACCAAGCCACCTCCAAGGGCAATTCAGGCATCAAAGCTCTTTCTCTCAAATTCGCTCTCAGATCAGCAGAAATCTGCCCCCAAACTCTCATATACCACATTCACAAAGCCCTCTCCCTAAACCCATACACCATTCATTCTATTCCTGCCTCCTTGCCTTTGCTTCCCTCAATGCAAAGACCCTTTTCCCTCCCACTGATTTCATCCAATCTATGCATCCTTCAAAAGCCAAATGGTATTCCTCAGCCCTTCTAATTCAGCTTGAAGCGATTTCTTTCACTGTAGAATTTTCATAGCAATTACTATATGACCCACGTCAATTAGCATTTAATTATATGCCATGTCTTTTCTCTTCTTTCATGTATCCTAATTTTGTCTTCCTAATTGGATTGTTGGCAGCTGTGGGCTGTGTTTTCTCCTGGGCATATATGAAAGTCCCAATAAATGGTTGTTTGATTGCTTCAGTTAAGCTAGATGCCACTCTTACACTTCTGGAAAATGGTTCAAATCTATTCCATTGTAGCAGCTTGAGCCACACAGCTGAAAATATGACCACTCACTCATGTTCCTCACATGTTCCAGCTTTATAATCACAGAGGGACTGGATCTCTTTCTCCAGTTCCAGTTAGAAAAATCCTAGGGAAGACTCTGATTTGCTCATTTAAGTCATGTGCTGAACCCCTAAAAAAATCAGTCTTGAGGGAAATAAGATTATATGAGAACAAGAAAGTTCTGAACCACAATCACAATTGTTGGAGTAAAGAGTGACAGTTGTCCACTACAGGTGTACCTGGATTTTGGAAGGTTCTGTTTCTTTATCTTCTCCAAGATAGATTATTTTTAAATTAGATCTTCATTCATCAAATATTTATCTAGTCAGAGTGGATCCTGCTCCTTGGGGAGGCTCAATAGATTTAACTGTCAGTAAACCTTTATTCTTTCTTTCTCAGAGGAGAGAGAAAGAAGACTTTGCTTTGAAAAACATGGTCTGATTGATGGTACCTTTCCCTAAACCTGTTCTCCAGAAAGGACCTAAAATTCACATACATGCGTTGTTCTCTCTCCCAGGAGCATTTAATAGGGACCACAGTCTTAATCTCAAATTGGAGTTTTCATCATCTCTCCCTCCCCTCCCTTTTCAACTACTCCTTAGAGATCCGCTTTACTGGCTCAGCGAGTAGTGTGTTAGTTTCAGGGTCCCTGGTTGGAAATGGGTGACACAACTCAAAGGAGTAACTGCAGAAAGTTTAATAAGGGGACTATTTAGAAAGATGAGGCAAAGGTTAAGGAATCAACAAGGGATGGGGACTGCCAGGTTTCGCATAAGAGGAAGCTGTTCTTACTCCTGCCCCCAAAGAGGCAAGGGGATGGGATTAGGAGGTCTAGAGGACATGAATTATGACCTTCAGTTGAGGAAGGCAGCCACTGCCAAACTGAAGCCCTTGTGGAGGAAGCCCTGGCCTCCCTCCTCCAGCTCTCAGATATCCTGCTAGTTCCCCACATGACCAGACCCAAGGAAGTGCAGGTGATACAGTCCATTAAGGTCAGCCTCCTTGGGAATCGAACCGGGTGACAGTGGGCAGAGAGTGATCTGGGCAATCCATTAGAGAATGACCAGCATAAATGCTAAGTTTCAGTGGGGTAGGAGAAAACATATCATAAAGAGAGAGTGTATATAGTTAGCAAAAAACCCTCCCAGAAATTCTGAAAGAATGTAACCTCTTTCTCTCCCAAAGATCAAGCAATGTTGATCAAAGTAAGCAAAACTACAACAAAAGACTATCAAATATGCTAGCTGATTGGGACGATCATTCATTCATGGATTTGTTCATTTATTCATTCATCAAATGTCAAAGATTTATTTGTACCTCTAGGCATCAAGCATGCAAAAGTGGATTAGATGTCTCTGAATGTTTGAAAAATTTTATAATAAAATGTTGTAACAAATGGATTATATATGGTGACTGCCCTAGAGAATCTAATAGCCTGGTCCAGCAAGGTTTCCTAGAGAAATTGACAGCTAAACTGACTCTGGGGGAGCCAGATAGGAAAGAACAGGAAAGGATGTTACAGGAGGGATATTGAGTGGGGGTGGGGTGAGGGGTGGGGGGTGGGGGGTGGGGGGCGGGAGGTGGGCGGGGGTCCCAGCCTCCCACATGCAGCGCGCACTGAGAGCACTCACCGGGGGGCTTGGGGGCGTTGGGCGTCGGCCTCCAGGCCCTGTGGTGCAGGAGCAATGCCAGCGCGGCAGCCACGGGGCCGAGCAGGCCCAGGCCCAGGCCCAGGCCCAGGACAGCGGCCAGCTCAGGGCCTGCGGGGAGGCAGGGCCCGCTGGGGTGGGGTCCACCAGGGAAGGAGCCCACCGCAGGAGGGCCGCACCCAGGCCAGCAGGCAGCTCCACCAGCCCTCCCCCCACCCCCCTTGGGGTGGGGGAAGGCCCTGCTGAGGCGAGGCCAGGCCCCCTTACCCTTGGGGGGCTCTGCGTGGGGCGTGGAGGGCCCCTGTGAGGCCGTCGGCCAGGTGGTGGTGGGCTGAGCGGGGGTGGACCGGGCTGCGGGGCCCTGGGTCTCCCAGGCTGGTGTGAGTCGGGTGCTCCTGTCCTCACAGACAGCGTCCGAGCTGTTGCTGGCCGCCTGCAGTGTTCGCTTTCCTAATGAGGTGCAGCTGAGCAGGGCAAGGGTGTTGATCAGGCCAGAGTGTCCCCCACCCCACCCGCCCCCCACCAGTGGGACAGGCCGAGAACTGGGGCAGGACCAGGGAGATGTGAGGGGCGACAGGGGTCCACAGCGGGTCACTCAGGCAGCATCAGAGTCCAGCCCAAAGGCGGCGAGGAGAGAGGCCAAGGTCCCTGCCAGCCCCCAGGAGCCTGGGCCTCCCCCGGCCTCCCCCGCCTTCTCAGCCTGCTTCCCACACCCGCTCCCCGACCTGTTCCCACCTGCACCCTCTCTCCCAAACTCCTGCCTGCTCTTTTGCTGCTCCTGCCAGGTCAGCTCAACAAGGACGGGGGCCTCTCAGCTGGGAATGAGTGAGGGTCTCACACCCTCCCGGGCCTGGGCTGGGGTCTCACAGCCTCCCCACTCCAGCCCAGCAGGAAGGCCAGGGGGAGGAGGCTGCATCAGGGCTGAGCAGGGGTCGTGGGGGCGGGGCAGGGACCAACGTCGGCGGG